GATTTGCTTGTGGCTGCTTCTTCTAATCCAGTCTCCTTTAAAAAGATCTCTAAAGCTGTAAGTCAGTCTGAGAGAGAGACAAACACTCCTGGGAGTTGGAACTAGTCACATGCCCCAGCAGTTCCTCAGAATCATTGGGTATACTCTGAGAAATTTTCTCTCTACCATGAAGTTTGAAGAACTTCAGGAACAGACAACAGAGGGTCCTGTGGCACCTTTAAGACTAACAGAAGTATTGGAGCATAAGCTTTCGTGGGTGAATGCCCACTTCATCAGACGCAAGTAATGGAAATTTCCAGAGGCAGGTATAAATCAGTATGGAGATAACGAGGTTAGTTCAATCAGGGAGGTTGAGGTGCTCTGCTAGCAGTTGAGGTGTGAATACCAAGGGAAGAGAAACTGCTTCTGTAGTTGGATAGCCATTCACAGTCTTTGTTTAATCCTGATCTGATGGTGTCAAATTTGCAAATGAACTGGAGCTCAGCAGTTTCTCTTTGGAGTCTGGTCCTGAAGTTTTTTTGCTGTAAGATGGCTACCTTTACATCTGTTATTGTGTGGCCAGGGAGGTTGAAGTGTTCTCCTACAGGTTTTTGTATATTGCCATTCCTGATATCTGACTTGTGTCCATTTATCCTCTTGCATAGTGACTGTCCAGTTTGGCCAATGTTATCTCATTATCTCCATACTGATTTATACCTGCCTCTGGAGATACTGTGACTGTCAAGAGTTTAAATGACATGGCCTAGGGTGCTCTGTGTTTGGTCTCTTGTACTCTTGTCACCTCTCTGTTAGCTTGAAGGGCCTCTCTGATTTGACCATTGAGGTGAAAGTGGGGGAGATGATATCGCTGAGAATGATGGCTCTTCCTTTTCAGAGTTTCTGCCTGAAGAGGTGGTAGATACTATTCCAGTGCTTAGTCAAAGAAGACCAAGTGTCATTCATCAAAGAAGAACCACTTGTTTTCCATCAGGAAATCGCCTATTAAGTACAAACACAAAATGAGGCACTGTGAGGATTGTGGGAATTATTCCTTTTGCAGGCCAGATCAAAAGTTGAAGTGTAAAATTTCCAAAAGTTCCTAAGTGACAGAGAGACAAGGTGGGTGAGATAATATTTTTTTATTGGACCAACTTCTGTTGGTGAGAGAGACAAGTTTTTGAGCCACACAGAGCTCTTCTTCAGGTCTGGGAAAATTACTCTGAGCATCACAGCTAAATGCAAGGTGGAACAGACTACTTAGCATAAGTAGTTAGCACATATTGTAAGGGACCATACAAGGTAGAGTGGCCCATTAACACCTCTGGAGTCATAGGACAAATTGTAGTAATAAGCCATAAATCCAGTGTGTCTGTTCAGTCCATGATTTTTAATGTCTAGCAAAGTTATGAATTTAAGCTCCGAGGCTTATCTTTTGGAAGTGTTGTGCAGGTTTCCTTTGAGTATGAGGACTGATAGGTCAGATATAGAGTGATGGCTTTGTGATAGGATGTTTTTGTTCATCATTTTCCTTTCTGAGTTCATTTGAGAGCGTAGTGATTGCCTGGTTTCACCCACATAGTTGTTGGACCATTTAGTGCACTGGATGAGGTATATCACATGTTGTGATACGTTTGTGTAGGATCTATGGATCTTGAAAGGTGTGTTGTGGGGATCATCATTGCAATGGAGATATGTCTGCAGGCTTTGTATCCTGGTCTGTGGGGAGCTTAGTCCCAATGACTTAGGCTATATCTACGCTACAGACATTATAGCAGCATAGCTGTGGCACTGTAAGGTCTCCTGTGTAGCCGTTCTATGTCGGCAGGAGAGAGCTCTCCTGACGGCATAATTAAACCACCTCTAATGAGAAGTGGTAGCTATGTTAGCAGGAGAGTATCTCCTGCCAACTTAGCACTGTCCACATCAGTGCTTTTGTCAGTGAAACTTTTGCCTGTTAGAGGGGTGTTTTTTTCACATCCCTGACTGACAAAAGTGCTAGTGTAGACATAGCCTTAGTGTCCCACCAGAGCACTGACAGCTGAAAGGGTAATCGTGTCAAAGGAAAAGAAAGTTGCACATCAACACTATCAACTTTGAGGTAGTAGTCTCTCTGGTCCAGGTGATGTTTCGGGAAAGATGAAAGATAAAGTACAAACTTGTCAGATAGGGCAACACAGCCTTATCATTCTATATCAGTAGTCAAGAAGGGACTGGAGTCAGCCTCTCCATTCCATAAGGCAGATTTGTTGTTGCTGAAAAGTCTCCATGTGCCTGTCCAGCTGAGCTGCCAGGCAGAGTAGACTTAAAAAAGGCAGGCGTGTTACCAGATCAGAGAAAACTGGGAAGAGCCATCATGGACCTCCTCATGCCCCAGATGTGCCCAATTTTGCAGCAACATCAGAAACCTTAGCTTTGACTCTGTCAGTTCCTTGTGCTTGTGTAAAGTTCCAGACTTTTCCTTCAGCAACTTCTGTTTGGAAAGTGCTAAGAAATGTAGCTTGGCACAAGACTGATAATACTTATAGCTCCTGTGTGCCCCAGAAGGTCTGGATTAGGGAATTTAGTAGAATCATCTTCTGTGCTAAAATGTCCTTCAGCAAGGACCCAAGCACGACCTAAACCATCGCACTTCAAATTGCTCAGCTTGTTTTATAACAGAGCACTTCAGAAAGAGCTAGGGGTTTCTGATAAGATAGCCGAAACTGTGTTATACTGTAGGAAAAAGAGCAACTTCTTCACTAACTATACAGTGTAGCCAAACTTTTCTGTATGTTGCAAGGCTAGGAAGTTTTCATTATAAGACGGGGAAGATCCTTTCCATTCTAGACTTTCTTCAAAAACATTCTGATAGAAGTTTGCACCTAGCCACTTACTGGTTCAGACCTCTGCCATCAACACTCTTTGGGAAGGCCAGTCAACAGAGGAATAGTTGTGTCTGATGTTAGTTTCCCATTTCTTAAAGGGAGTCAATCACCTTTCTTTAGCTCCCCCGACAGTGGCCCCTGATATTGTGGCATTTAAAAATTGCTATTAGAGGTTATGTGAACTTTCATTTGATCCTTTGAGGACGTAGATTTGAATTTCCTTTTCCCTGAGATTAATTTCTTAATGGCCATTTCCTGGGCCAGGACTAAGAGGAAACTGGCAGCACTGAGGTCTCTCACCTTACATCTAACCACTAAGGACAAGATGGTTTGTCATATCTATCCCAGTTTCCTACCAAAGATGTCACTCCACTTTTCACTTAATATAAAATATTTCTTTTCCAAGCTTATGCCATTAACACAGTCCACAGAAAAGAATCTCATACTCACACTGGACTTACAATTTGAAAGTTCTGTGAATTTGGAAAGGAAATCTCCTTTCTGGAAAATCATTCCACTGTTTTCTTCTCTTCGTAGGCACCAAACAATCTTTAGGAGCATCTAGATATAGCAAAGATACCTTCTCCCATTAGGAGCAAGGATCACTCCTCTGAAGTGTGATCAGCAAGAGGCAATGCTTCCAATTACAAACTTTTTAAGGCAGCCACTTGAAACTCCTTAAATATTATTACTAAACACAACACGTTAAATGTGCAGATGTCAGCTTATGCTTTTGGATACTTAGAGCCATCGTCCCTTGGAATTCTGGAAGAGCATGGAGACCAAGAATTGCTTTGCTCAATTCATGGCCATTCTTAATTTCACCCCCTACTCCCTCTTTCATTCCTTTTAGTTAGCTCTCTTCTGTTCTTTCTCAGCCCAGGTATTTTAACAGTAGCATTTCACAAAACCCAAGGTCTGTGTTAGAGTAGGCCAGCTCTCAGAAAACAAATTTTATTTCAATTTTCCCAGTTTGTTTTGTGTTGCTTGAACAATATATCAAGACCCAAAAGAAACTGTGTTCCAGGGATCAATAGACATCTCTGCAGACAAGGAGGGTATTTGTTTCAATTTGAAAGAAATCAAATTGGGAAAGGAAAGGAAGGAAGCAGTAGAGGAACTCCTCGAAAGCGTGAAAATCCTGCCATTGAATTGGCCATTGGTCTGCTGGCATTCACAGAGAGCAGAGATGGATTACTGTTTTGTGGGGCCCTGGGCCAGAGCAAGTGGGGGCCCCACCCCACCCCTTCAGCCTGCAGTCCTCCCTCCCCCGTGCTCCTGCTGGGGAAGAGGGTCAAGGCATGAGGGCTTGCCCCCACCCTCCTGGCACTTCTGCCAGGGAGCGGGGTCGTGGCGCAGGGGCTTCCACCTCATGAGCACCAGGCGGGCGGAGTGGGGCAAGCCCCCACGCTCCAACTCCACACCCCAGCAGGCGTGTCAGGTGGTGTGTGGGGGTGCCCATTTTTCGGGGGTCCCCAGTTGGCCAGGGCCCCTGGGCATGGGCCCCGTTGGTCCAGTAGCTAATCTGCCACTGACGGAGAGAGAGAAGGAAAATCCATAGTTGTACCACAAAATTCCTCGAATTTCTTATGGAAGGCATGTGGGATAATTATTAAGGCCAGATGGTGGCTTTAAGTCATGGGCATGCAAAGGGCCATGCTGCAGCAGCTGCTTCAGGTGAGATTCTCTGCACAATGCTCTTTCACATGCATACACCCTGCCCAAAATGCACTACTGAAGCTCTATTGGTCATTGTGAAGAAGACAAATTGGGGCCACAGCCCTGCCCTCATCCAGCCCAACCCCATCCACTTTCAGCAGACTGGTACTGAGGAGACACTAGCTCAGAGTAGTGCCTCAGTTCCCCAGCCTGAGTTTGCCTGACATCTGCATGGGATGGCAAGAGGGGAAAGTTCCTTGACACATGTTTGCATTCCTGTTGCATATACAGTGTTAGAATCAGGACATACAGAACCTGGCATATCTACCCCATGAAAGCACATTGTACTAGATGAACTTAGCATGTTTGAAAGAAGTCAAATGGTTATCATGTTTCTGTGGAAAGGTGTGTCCATCAAAGACTGTTTATTTTGTAACTTAAATATTCATTTTCTGAAAACGTTGTGTGTTTTGTCATTCTAATACAACTACTTTTCAGGATCGCATTGTATCAATGACACTTGATAAGGAATATGATGTCGCTGTGGAAGCCATTCGATTAGTCACTCTAATACTTCAGTGAGTATTTTTCAAAGCTAGCATAATTCACTATGAGAAGCACTTTTGTCAGCAATATGCATCAGGTTTAGGTTTCTCATGCGTATTATGAAGGACTTGTAGCACTGAAGGCGGGTTCAATGTGTAATAATTTCACTGAGCAATTTTTGGAGATGTTGGAATGGGATAAATGGCTGCATAAACATACTCTGGTGAAATTCAGAAATTTACTAACTCCTTGGTGCCAGTAGTTTCAGTGTATCCACTCGTACAAATAAATGCCAGACTGGAAAAATAGACTGACAGTACAAACAGATCATTTTAACTATGTTATATTATTCTCTGTTCTTTTTTTCTTTTAAATGCAAAAAGCTACTTGCGTGCAAAGTACAACTGAGAATTTAACTACACTAAAGTCAGGAAATGCTTTGGTAACCTTAACGTTGCAACTTTAATTCTGTTCTAGTTTCAAGTCAAAGATACAAAAACAGAATCGGAAATTTGCAAATTTAAGAATATATTTCATAATATAAAATGCTGCATCTGTATATGTGCATACACGAATGAAGAAAAACTGCAGTGTCGTATTATATTCAGAACTACCGGAAGGATGTTCGTTTAAATTAATAAAAAAAAACAACACACTGAAGCATAAAATGGAAGTTACGTTTTTGTTAAATACACACTGAAAATCCCTAACTTAAAAAAAAAAAATTCAGTATGTAATATTGTTTGTGTAGTCAGGTCTGGCAGAACCTAAAGTTCTCATCCGTGGAAGTGCCCAATATTGAATTGGGACCAATACTTGTTATAATTCAAGAAAAATGACTTTTCAAAATATTATGTTTGTGTGCCGTCACTGTAATATCTGAAAAAATAAAGATCATGATTGACATAAAACAAAATTATGGCACATTATCTAAATTTTTTGAAAACTCAATAAAAAAAATTAATTCCCAAAAAGTGTGATGACAATTCTGGGCACAACTCTACAGTTAAGGTTGAAGCAAGGATTAATCATCTCTGTTAAATGTTAATGATACAGTGAATCCTTTCCAGATTTATAGTACTCAAAGAATAAGTATGGAATGAATTTTCAAAGAAATCTGATAATTAGTTTGTTAAAATACCTCAACATGTTAAGAAATCTAAACTTTAACCTTAACTCTGAAGTAAAGATACTTCATGTTAAATTCCCTGGTTTGTATCTAGGGAAGGAAATATTGGTTGAAAACAGGGATAGGGATGATTAAGACCCATGGTCTTGACCAGGGGTCTCAAACTCAAATGACCACGAGGGCCACATGAGGACTAGTACATTGGCCCGAGGGCCGCATTAACTGACACCTCCCCCCCACCGCTCTCGGCCCGGCCCCCACTCCACCCCTTGCATGAGGCCCCGCCTCTTCCCACCCCTTCCCTGCCCCCATTCCAACCCCCTTCCCTGAAATCCCCACCCCAACTCTGCCCCCTCCTGCCCCCAGGGGGCGCAGGAGGGGTGTGGCGGGGGCTCAGGGCAGGGAGTTGGGGTGTGGGGTGCAGGAGGGGTGAGGAGTACAGCAGGGGTGCAGGGTGCGGCGGGGGCTCAGGGCAGGGGGTTGGGGTGCAAGAGGAGTGCGGGGTGTGGCAGGGGGCTCAGGGCAGTGGGTTGGGGTGCAGGGTGAGGCAGGGGGCTCAGGGCAGGGGGTCAGGGTGCAGAAGGGGTGCAGGGTACGGCAGAGTGTTGGGGTGCAGGAGGGGTGCGGCATGGGGCTCAAGGCAGTGGGTTGGGATGCAGGAGGGGTGCGGGGTGGGGCAGGGGGTTCAGGGCAGCGGTGCAGGGTGCGGCAGGGGGTTCGGCTGCAGGAGGGGTTCGGGGTGCAGAGTGCGGCAGGGGGTTCGGCTGCAGGAGGGGCTCGGGGGGCAGGATCTGGCCCAGCGCGTACTGGGGGCAGGACAGGCTCCCTGCCTGTCTGCCCTGCCCCCACGCTGCTCCGGGAAGAGGCGGGAATGTGGGGGCGGAGGGGCTGTGTGTTTCTGTTGCTTCAGGCACTGCCCCCAGCAGCTCCCATTGGCCACGTTCCCGGCCAATTGGAACTGCTGGGGGCGCTGACTGAAGCAACAGCAACACACAGTCCCTCTGCCCCCCCTTCTCTTCCTGGAGTGGCGCCGGGCAGGGCAGGCAGGCAGGGAGCCTGCCCTGCCCCCGGTGCACGTCCGGCCGGAGCCGCTCTAGGTAAATACTGGGGGTGGGCGGGGGGGCTGCGAGGGGCTTGCGGGCCGCAGAAAATAACCCCACGGGCCGAATGCGGCCCCCGGGCCGCGTGTTTTGAGACCCCTGGTCTTGACTGTATGGTAACAGCAGAGATCAAGCAGGTTTTTGCTGCTAGGAGGAATGTTTCATGAGGTTTGTCCTTTGGGTCATGATCCAAAGCCCAGTGAATTAAGTAGGAATTTTAATACTAACTACATTGAGATTTGGATCAGGTCCTTGATGAAGAATCCAGGTAGGTTTCTAGAGCTAAGAGATGAGGTTCAAAACTTGCAGCATGAGTGGGGATAATGTAGGAGATTGGTAATAAGTGTCTAGTAAGACAAAGAGGGGATGGAGCTCGGTTGTTCTCAGTGGTGGCAGATGACAGAACAAGGAGTAATGGTCTCAAGTTGCAGTGCGGGAAGTTTAGGTTGGATATTAGGAAAAACTTTTTCACTAGGAGGGTGGTGAAGCACTGGAATGGGTTACCTAGGGAGGTGGTGGAATCTCCTTCCTTAAAGGTTTTTAAGGTCAGGCTTGACAAAGCCCTGGCTGGAATGATTTAGTTAGGAATTGGTCCTGCTTTGAGCAGGGGGTTGGACTAGATGACCTCCTGAGGTTCCTTCCAACCCTGATATTCTATGATTTAATGGATTTTCACTGGAGGATTACATTAAGGCTTCCATATCTGTTTGTGGGTGGAGCATAGGAACGGGGTTACTGTTGTTGATTTGCATCAGGGTTTGAGGATAGTCCAGAAAGCTGGGAGAAGTGCTGCTTGACTCTCTAGGGCTGGGCAATAGATAGCAATCAATTTCAATTAGAAGTTATGATTTGCAGAAAATACATAGGCAAAGTGAAAGAGATGAGGGAAAAATCCCTGGCTGGCAGACTAAGTACAATAAGGAGTTTTAAAAATATATTAGGAAAAAGGGAAATAATAGCAATGGTGTAGGTCCATTATTAGATGGAGAGGGTAGCATTGTTAATGATGCAGAAAAGGCAGAATTTTGAATAAATATTTGTGTTTTCTATTTGGAAAGTAGCAGGATGATGTACCCATATCTAGGGGTGGCATAGCTTGACTTTTTACTTTTTTCTAGTTTTGATAATTATCAATTTTTATTTTTAAGATTTTTTCCCTATTTTTAAGTATTTTTATTTTTAGAGTTGTGGGGGGTGGGATTGGGGTTAGGGCGGTACTGCCAGTGGGGCAGCAGGGAGTTCCCGGTGCAGCTGAGGGGCATGACACTAGGGCTCAAGGGTAAGGGAGGCTGTGGTCCTGGCTCAGAGGAGCAGAGGCCCCTGGTCAGGATTGTAAAGAGGAGGACAAGCCCCTGGTCACGGGGAGGCTGCCCAGCTGCTGAACATTTCTGGCTCAGGGACCGTTCCCATGCTTTTGGCTGGTGAGTGAGGGATCAGGACCATGACACCAGAGTTGCAGAGGGCTTACTACATGACCAGTGCCACCTGATCCCTGGAGGCGCAAGATGCAGGGAAGGCTGCAGGGTCAGAGCAGAGACCCCTCCAGCCAGGGCTGCGAAGAGGAGGACAAGTCCCTGACCATGGAGATGGGCACGGAGTCATTCAGCAGTGGGTCAGCCACCTCTGCAGCCAGGGACAACGATGACCCCTCTTCCTCGCAGTCCTGGCCAGGATTTCCTTGTCTGCTGAGCCAGGATGTGCACAGTGCCCCACTCACTGACCAGCCTGAAATACAAGAGCTATTCCCAGGCAGAAACTGTTCAGCAGTGGCATGGCCAGCTGATGAGTGAAAGCAGAGCTACAGAGAGCTCCCTGTCCTACCCGAGGAGCCATTAAGTAGTGGGGTGTCCTTCTCCCCTACCAGTGGTTCATCTTGCTTCCCCTCCTTTCAGTCTTGGCCAGAGGTATCTGCTCTGCCCTACCAGGACTGCAGTCTCTCCCTGCACCTTGTGCCCGCAGGGATCAGGTGTCACCTGCCCTGCAGCCATGCAGGGAGCCCTCTACAACCCTGCTGTCATAACCCCGCTCACTCATTCTCATGACAGCTTCTGTCTGATGAGTGAGCAAGCAGGCCATGACATCAGAGTTGCAGAAAGCTCCCTGCATGATGGCCAGTGACACACAATCTCTGCAGGCACACGGATTGTTACTGTTCGATATTTTTTTCGTTAATCTCATTGTGTCTGCTGAAATTGACCTTTACCGACAGATATCTATTAAAATTGAAATCTGCCAAGCCTATCCATATCATATGAGGATGATGAAATACTTTCCAATGCATTAGTAACTAAGGAAGATATTAGATAACAGCTACTAGGGATAAATATTTTAAATCAGTCTGCCTGGATAACTTGCACCTAAGAATCCTAAAAGAGTTGTCTGAGAGATCTCTGGACCGTGAATGTTAATTTTTAATTAATCTTGGAATACTGGGGAAATTTCAGAAGATTGGAAGTGAACTGGCATTGTGCAAGTATTCAAAAAGGACAGGTGGGATGACCCAGCTAACTATAGACCAGGGAATATGACATGAGTCCTGGACAAAATAATGGAAAAACTGATACAGGATTCAATTGATAAAAAAATTAAAAGCTAGCATATAATTAATGCCAGTCAAGATGGTTTTATGGAAAATATGTCTTGTCAAACATACCTAATTTCATTCTTTGATGAGATTGCATGTTTGGTTGCTGAAGTTAATTGTGTAAATGCATTTGACTTATTACCACACGACATTCTAATTAAAAATTAGTACTATGCAGTATCAGTAAAGCACACGTTAGGAACTAGATAACTGATAGATATCAAAAAGTAGTTAATGCAGAATCTTCATTTAATGAGGGTGTTTATAGTGGGATTCCACAGATATCAGTAGCCTATTCCATGTTTCTTCAGTGATCTGGAAGTAATAGTATTACTGCTGATAAAATATGTAAGTGCAACAAAGACTGGTTGATTGGTAAACAATTATGAGGACAGGACAGACATACGGAGGGTTACATCTATGCAGCAAGGAAAACTCACGGCTGCCTTGTGCCAGCTGCCTTGTGCTTGTGGGGGTTGGGCTGCAGGGCTCTTTCATTGCTTTGTAGACTTCTGGGCTTGGGGTGGAGTCCAAGCTTTGGGACCCTCCCACCCTGCAGGGTCATAGAGCTTGGGCTCCCACCCAAGCCTGGAAGTCTATACAGCAATGAAACAGTCCCACAAGCCAGAGTCACTTAGCATGGACCAACTGTGGGTTTTTCTTTGCTGTGTAGACATATCCATAGTGATGTGGGTCAGTTGGTAAACTGGGCCCACTCAAACAAAATTTGTTTTAATACAGCCAAATGCAAGGTCATACAGCTTGTAGCAAGGAATGTAGGTAATACCTACAGAATGGGGGATTATATGCTGGGAAGCAGTGGCTCTGAAATGCATTTAGAGGTCATAGTGGACAAGCAACTAAACATGAGCTCTCGGTGTAATGCTGTGGCAAAAAGTGCTAATACAATAAATAGGGGAGTAATGAGTAGAAGTAGGGAAGTGACTTTACCTCTGTATACAGCATTGGTGAGACAGATATTGGAATAATGCATACAGTTCTGGTGTCCACATTTTAAAATGATGTTGAAAAACTGGAGCGTGTGTGGAAAAGAGCCACCCAAAAGAAAAAAATCCTCACAATGAGGGACTTAAAGAAGTTCAATCAATTCAGCTTATCAAAAAGAAGATTGAGAAATGGCTTGATTACAATGTACAACTACCTTTACGGAGTGAAAATATTGTGTACTTGCGGGCTTTTTATCAGAGGAAGGCATAACAAGACCCAGTGGCTGGAAGCTGAATGCAGATAAATTCAAATTAAAAATTAGGCACACATTTTGAACAGGGAGGGTGATTAACCACTGGAATAAAATATCAAGGAAGTGATGGATTCTCCATCTCTTGATGTCTACAAATCAAAACTGGGCTATCTATCTGGAAGATACAGTTTAATCAAACACAAGTTATTGGATTCAGTACAGATTTGTAGATTCTAAGGCCAGAAAGGACCATTGTGATTACTTAGTATGATCTCCTGTGTAACACAGGCCGTAGAACTTCCCAGAATAATTCCTACAGCATATCTCTTAGAAAAACATCCAGTCTTGATTTCAAAATTATCAGTGATGGAGAATCCACCGTGACCTTATCTGTGATGGAGAATCTACCATGACCCTTGGAAAGTTGTTCCAATAGTTAATTACTCTCAATTTTAAAAATGTATGCCTTATTTCCAGACTGAATTTGTCTAGCTTCAACTTCCAGATGTTGTATCATGTTCTACCTTTCTGTGCTAGAATGAAGAGCTCATTATTAAATATTTGTTCCCCATGTAGAGACTTAGAGACCGTAAACAAGCAACACTTATCCTTCTCATTGTGAAACTAAATAGCTTCAGCTCTTTGAGTCTATCTCTATAAGGCTAGTTTTCTAATTCTTTAGTCATTCTTGTGGTTTTTCTCTGAACACTCTTCAATTTATCAGCATTCTTCTTGAATTGTTGATACCAGAACTGGACACAATATTCCAGCAGTGGTCACACCAATGCCAAATACAGTTATAACTTCTCTACTCCTCTCAATATTTCCCCTGTTTATGCATTGCCAGAAGCTGGGAATGAATGGTAGGGAATGGATCACTTGATGATTACCTGTTCATTCCCTCTGGGGCACCTGTCATTGGCCGCTGTTGGAAGACAGGATACTGGGCTAGATGGACCTTTGGTCTGACACAGTATGGCCATTCTTATGTTCTTATGATCCCATTAGCCCTTTTGCCACGGCGTCACACTGGGAGCTCATGTTCAGCTGATTATCCACCAGAACCTCCAAATCTTTTTTATAGTCACTGCTTCCCATGATAGAGTGCCCCAGGGGTGTCTGTGTGGAATCTTTTGTTCTGTGATATACAGGAGGTCAGATGATCTAGTGGTCCCTTCTAGCCTTATACTCTATGGATCATCAACAAGGTTGCCAATGTCAAGAAAGGAAAAATCATGATTTAGACCCCAAATAATCAGCTGAGGATTGACAAAGTAGGAGCTCCGCCCCACCCCTATGCCAGAGTGTGTGGGGGAGGTGCACATTGCCTGCCCCTCTTCCTACCGCTAAGGAATTCTCAGCTGGCCATTTACAGCAATCTAGAGCAGTGCAAAGGAAACAGCTCAAAATGGAGATTCTGGCCCCAAGAGTTTTATCTTTGTGCAAAAGGTATTGTGATTAGATCACTCTTCTGTTTTTGTTTTTAAGGTAAGGGTTTTTTTTTAAATGGTTAACTCAGAAAGGTTAAATGGATTTTGAGCACACTTTCCAAAAATAGTTTATCTTTGGCTGAATCTATGTGTGGGGCATCTCAGTCCAAAAGAAATTTTCTGGGAGAAATTAACGTTCAAGTGTAAATGAACATTTATAATGCCTTCTCAGTCTGAACTACAGCATTAGCTGTAACTATTTTTGTAAATTCTGAAATGTGTACACTTCTATAGAAGCAAAATTTTAGATTTTTTTTCAAAGGAACCCTCTTAAAATATTGGCAAGTTATTAAAACTAAAAATGTTGCCATTCAAGTTTAAGAAAATGTTTAATCATTTCCTAGTGTACTACATTCATAAGAAGCAGCCATTTTCACTCAAAGGTGGGGTTTTTTGGTGATGAAGTGTTTAAATATTTTTGAGGCCTAATCCTAAACCCGTTGAAGTTAATGTCCCATTAATTTCTGTGGGGTTTAGATGAGGCCCAGGTAGCCCTATTATGATAGACAGTCTATATAAATAAAGTAACTTATGGGAGGTGGTGGAACTGAAATTAAACATTTGTTTTGGTTCAGGTGTTACTTTCTGACTTTTTCAGTGGAAGTGAAGAAGCTCTGTCCAATGAAGACTGTGAGAATGTTTATCACTTGGTGTATTCAGCACACCGGCCGGTTGCAGTAGCAGCTGGGGAGTTCCTTCACAAAAAGTAAGCTACCTCTCATCCTGAAATGAAAAACAGATTCATGATAGCTTCCTGAGACCAGAAATGCCTAGTGAGATCTAGAAGTGACAGGTTGATATATAGTAAGTATGGCCTGATTCAGCAAAGCACTTAATCACAAGCTTAACTTTTTAAGCACTGACTTTCAACAGGAGTACTTGCATGCTTAAAGTTATGCATCTACTTAAGTGCTTTGATAAATCAGGATTTATATCATGGTTTTCTTGCTGTACAGTTTAAACAGTAATTTCTATTAATTTAGGACATTAAAGTACAAACAAATATTATGATTGTAGGCACTTTTTGTAAAGATTTGTTAATTTATGTGCAAATCCCTTGATTTTGTGTTTGGTTTTCATTGTAGCGTCTGGTACTACAAATTGTGGATATGCCTGCGTGATTGTATAAATTACAGTTATTATTTTAAAGGCATTTATTTTACTCAACTTTGAAATAATAGGATACCAATTTACTCCAAAGTTAGCAATTTTAACAGGATTTTCTGTTCATTTACTTGCATGTCAAAAAATGGGGTGAATTATTAGTGGTAGCTAGATACCTTTGATGCCAGGTGATCAGAGGTGTCCAGAAGTTTTTCCTTCACTCTGCTGTACAGCATGGGAGAGCTGCTACCTCAAATACAAAGGGCGGAATCTCAACTGGTTGTTCCTTTGCAGTCTAGACCAGCTGAGGATCTTAAACAATATTTTTAACACTCTGAAGTATTTAGTATTTTCCCTTCCCCATTTTTAAAATTGTTAAGGGTTTTTGCAACTTTTTACAGACATTTTTTTTGTATAAGAATTCATTTTAATGGAATTTTTCAAACCAGAATACACTTGAAAGAAAAGGCCTTTTATACAACCAGCAGTTTATTTCACCAGTGATATTTTGTGTTCCCTTTGTTATTTGCATTTTGAAAATGAGCCCACCCGCCCCCCAATAATAGATTTCCTCTTTGATCAGGCATAAAAAATATGATTCTATGCTTGTGGTGACAGTCTTTTACTATGAAAGTGGATGTGATGTTGCAAATTCAGTAATATGACCTCACTGCGTGATAAATAATGGAAAAAAGTTCTTTTATACATTATAATAAAATATCTTCAGTAATTAACAAATGTGGCAAAACAAGTATGAAAAAATCTGAAAGATAAATTAGTTTGTCTAACATGAAAATTTCTCCCAGTGGGGAAAGTCTCTTTTGAAAGTGATGTTATCCTATTTCCTATAAACAGGCCCGCTGAAGGGGGGCGGGGGAAAGGGAGCAATTGCCCAGGGACCTGGTTCTCCAGTTTACAATGTTTGCAAATTAGAAAAAATTGGTACCATAAATAAAATGTGAAATGTATCTTTCACTGCCATCATGCCCCTTTTGAAATGCATCCCCGTGCAAGACTCTTCTCCACCATTGCCTGTTCTCCAACGTGCCCCCCACTCTTGGTTTCACATCCCCATCAACCTATTTTTCCTTCTCTATTCCCAGTCCCGGGACCCCCTGGAAAAGATTATATCATTCCCCAGGCGATACTTACCTCACTGCGATGGTGGACTGACTGCAGGACAGTCCTGGAGGGGGTTCCTCCAGACTTCACATGCAAATAGGGCTTCCATTATGTTGGCTTAATTTACATGTGACATCTTATCTCCTGTCTGGAAAAAACCTGTTGCAACTCGTCCTGGTTATATAGATTACAAGATATTTTTAGTAGGTACACATAACTCTCTACATACCAACTGTACATACATCTCACAATGTTTAAGATGACCAGTATTATATAAGTTTTCATTTGATACCTCACACAACATTCTTGTTAGGTAAATTCTATGACAGCAATGTTTTTGTTGTAATGATAGGAGTTACTGACACAGAATAGTGAACCCTTTGTTAGCTGGCATCAGTGGCTGCTTCTGTGTCACAGCAACACCTAACATCTGCAGGAAAAATGTGTGGTGGTGTGAAGAGGAAAGTACCTGAAATCCCTGCTAAGCCAGGTAGGGCCAGAAAAGTGCCTACAGCCAATCCTCACTCTTTAGGCATCTGCCAACACAGAAGAACATAGAAATTGGTATACCAGATCAGGCCACAGTGTCCATCTAATCCAGTATCTTTTCTCTAATAGTGGTCAGTATCAGGTGTTTTAGAGGAAGTGTAAGAAATCCTATAATATATAATTATAGATTAGTTTCTTCCTAACCCCAATCTATTAGTGATTAGCTTGTGCCCTGAAGCTTTAGGTTCTTTGAATGATTGCTCATGTCCATTCCATATTAGGGGTGTGTGCTCGCCACATGCACCGGTGCCAGAAGTTTTTCCCTCAGCAGTATCTGTAGGGAACCTGCTCTGGACCCCCCGGAGCGGCGCGCACATGCCGCGGTATAAGGGGTGCTGCTGGCTCCCTCCACCCTTAGTTCCTTCTTGCCACCAGTGACGGTGCTGGAATGTCTGCTGCGTTGTCTCATTCTCTGTTCATACGAACTCTGTAGAACTCGTAGTATAGTTGTAGATAGTTGTTGTTACCCATAGTTGTAGTTCTTGAAGTTATCATAGTCCCGAACAGGACTCATACGGGGGACGGGGCGTGCCCTGATCCTCAGGCTTTAAGCCTGTGATCGCTGCAAACAGCCTATGCCCGTCAGTGATCCATATACTAGCTGCCTAAGGTGCTTAGGCGAGGGACACACAAGTGACAAGTGTCATATCTGCAAGTCCTTCAAACCTAGGACGAAGAAGGAGCGCGATATCAGTCTAAAAGCGCTCCTAATGGAGTCGGCAATCACTCTGGCACCGGAACAACGGTCCGACTCCGCACCAAGCACCGTGTCCTCCGTGCGCAGTGCTCCGCCGGCACTGTCCACAAGCTGGCACCGGCCTCCCTCCACGGCTCCAATCAAGAAGCCGAAAAAGACTGTGAGGGGAAGATCTCCTACCTCCTGCAAGGGAAAGGAGAGGGCTGGGGACGAGCCAAGACCCATGCTGGGCAGCTCAACGCCCCTTTCAGGAAGTCGGGCCCCAGCTGAAGTCGAGTGGTGCAACCCATCCCATACTTCGCCTGTGACTCCAGATAGCAGTGCAGGCCCTGGCCAGCTTCTGGTGCCATCGACGCCCAAAGCCCTTCAAGCGGCTCAGGAGATCCTGGCACACCCGGTGCCACCCACACTGGCTCCAGCGGTACCCCAGTCTCAGGGAAAACCCGCGTTGGGACCTATGTGTGTGTCGCCGCCAAGGGCCCGGTACCAATCACATGACTGATCAGGGATCAAAGGCCGCCAATCACTGGGCCGTCATCGCCCATCTCCAAGAAGGAGGTCGCCCTACGCAGGAAGATCCTCCCAGCAACCGGCCCATAGTAGCTCCTGGTCCCATTTGAAATCCCTGTACCGGTCGAGTAGCGTGAGGCATGGATCGCCGGGTGTCCAATGCAGATCCATCAAACGCTGTCGGTCCCTGAGACCCTGACCTGCACCGGTCGGACAAGAGCCACCTCTCCACCCGATCCTGGTCATCCGATACCGACCGCTCCGCTAATAGTTCCGGCACGGAGCGAGTTTCCCTGACTGCAGGACAAGCCCCAGTACCTGCGGTGCCACCTACATCATCAGCACCAAAACTTGTCCCATGGCCCCAAGCGCAGTGGCGATCGGTGTCAGGAGCCTTGGAGAGGCCAGTGGTCTTGGTATCCCATCCCTCTCCTCTGCTCAAGGCTTCGGGAGGTAAGACTCCACAGGTCCAGGACGACATAGGGGAGCAAGTTGCTTGACTACCAATGGACGTGGAGGTTCCCATGGCACCGGCATTGTCCTCGTCGTCACCAGACGAGGCTATCACGGGGCCCCCTCACCCAGTTCCTCAGGATGACACCAAAGCACAGCAGGAGCTTTTGAAGAGGGTCGCTTCCAATCTGGGGCTTCGGGCAGAGGAATTGGAAGAGCCCTTGGACTCTCTTTTTGACCTCCTCTGTTCCTCGGCTCTACCCCTTCATGAAGGGGTTTCTAAAATCACTAATGCCCTGTGGCAGCCTCCCGCTTCCCTGGCACCTATCTCTAAAAGGGCTGAACGCAAGTACTTTGTGCCAACCAAAGGGCATGAGTACTTATACTCCCATTCAGCCCCCAATTCACTTGTGGTCAAGGTGGTTAACCACAAGGAGAGGCAAGGACAACCCGGGGCCACCCCCAAAAATAAAGACTTGAGGAAGCTGGATCTCTTTGGACATAAGGTTTATTTGTCTTCCAGCCTTCAGCTCAGAGTGGCCAACCACCAAGCCCTCCTTGGCCAATATGACTTCAGATGAGGCAAGCCATGGCCAAGTTCGAAGGGTCGTTCCCCGAGGCTTCCAAGAAGGATTTCCGCGAGATCTTCGATGAGGGCATGACCGCGGCCAGGGAGGCCCTCCAGGCGGCGTCAGACACTGCTGATGCCTGCGCATAGCTTCCGCTGTCTCCATGCAGTGAGCCTCCTGGCTGCTCCTCTCTGGGTTGTCCACCGAGGCCCAGCAGGCAATGCAGGACTTGCCCTTCAACAGCCGAGCCCTATTTGCGGAGCAAACAAACAGCAAGTTGCATGGCCTCAAGGACTCCTGCACCACTCCGAAAACCCTGGGTCTCTACATCCGGGGGAACCATCCTCGGCAGGACCAGCCGCACAAACGAGCCAAGGACTATAAGTGCCACCCGAGCCACCCGACTCCACCCTCTGCCCAATTGGGCTCAACCCGTAACAAGCAAGGGGCCAAATGGGCATTTTGACGGTGCGCCTGAGGGCAACCTACCAGACTCTTCCCCGGATCCATCTTTCCCAGTGTTCTCCAACCGCCTTTTCTTTTTCCTCCCTGCTTGGACCGCTATAACTTCAGACCGCTGGCTCCTCAGCACAGTGGAGCAGGGTTATACCCTTCAGTTCCTTTCTACCCCCACTTCCCACCCACCTTCCCCATCCCTCTTCAGGGACCTTTCTCACGAGTCTCCTCATGCAGGAGGTAAAG